CAGAATTCACAGAACTTTGATTTATGTCAGTTCTGTTCTTCCAGGATGCAGACGACCTAGTTGTCTACATAGTGTTCTCAGGACCTCGGTCCTGTACCTGCGTATAAGGAACCTGCTTCCCTGCTCTCCCCTGACGCCCACCCCAAACTTTCCCCCGCTCCCAGACTTGATAATCCACAGCACTGAGTTACTGTAAACATGTATCTGCTTACACAGCAAGATGCTTCGTTAAGATAAGTTGCAATCTGTCTACTGAAGGGGATCTCTTTCAGTCCTTGACACGCACCCACATTTGGAAGAGGTTTGGGCTGACAGGCCAGAAGTGAGGGGAGCATAGGAGTGTATAATTAAAGTGTCTTTATAACCTTTCTCTCTCTCTCTAAGGACCATCCTGCCTGTCTTCAGGGTCATTCAGAACCTTGCTCCTAGAAGTTTGAGGTATAGATATTAACATCCTTTAAAATGAAGTCACCCCAGGCACATTTGTTGCATCATTACTTTCTCAATTTCAAGGTGCATTGAGGAGGCAGAAACATTCCTTAAAGAGATGCCATCCACAATAGCAGGTTAAATGTAGCTAATGTATCCTTAAATTAGCCTTTCTAAGAGTACAGGAACACACTTATATATGGTTTGTTTTGGAGTACAGGTAATGTGAAAACTAGCAGTGCAATCAAACAGACTTATCTGCTCAGAAACAGTTGATTCTTGATTAGCTACACTGTTGGAGGGGAATATTGGTAGAGAAAGCATTAAACTCTGGCTAATTTACTCAGATTCTCAAAGCCTGAGCCAGTGTAGTACCAGGTAACTATGTCAGGTAGATTGTCAGACCTGTAAATAAACCACCTCATAGGAAACCTGGGGCCGAGAGTCCCTGCCACTAGATATGGAAGCAGAAATGTTGGGTGTTTAGTAGTCTTCCTCTGAAATCAGCATTCTCTTGTAACCCTCAGTGTTACCTCTTAAAATCTGAGGCCTTTAACTTTATTTTTAAAAATCTATACTAATAAAAGGGTAATATGCTAATTAGACTGGATAGACCGGACGTCCTTCTGGACAAAGCCACAGCGGCTGAGAGGGCCGAGGGCCGAGGGCCGGCGGCCTGGTAGAAGCGGCAGCATGGGCTGGTCCAGCGTCATGGCCCCTTCCGCAGAGGCACTGGGAGAGGGGGCTGCATGGTCCCGGTCCCAGTGCTGCCCCTTCTGAAGAGGCAGCTGCCGAGGCTGGACAGGGTGCAACCTGCTGTGCCTCAACCTCCCACAGCCCTTCCCCCAGCCGGCCTAGCCCCAGATCGCCCCCCACCCACCAGTGGGCAGGGGCCAGGGCCAGTGCTATGAAGCAAGGGCTGAGGGCTGGTAGCCACAGCGGCCAGCAGTGGCAGCAGCAGCGGGGTGATTGGGGCGGTGCCTTCCCCTGATCGGCCCGGTCGCCTCCCCCAGAGGGAGGCCTGTGACTTAGGCAGGCCTAAACTGTCAGAAGGACATCCCCTGAGGGCTCCCAGACTGTGCAAGGGGGCAGGCCGAGCTGAGGGACAACCCCCGCCCAGTGCACGAATTTTCGTGCACCGGGCCTCTAGTACATCATATAATTATCTGACCACTATGTACTACACCTCAAAACTAATATAAAATAATATTGAATGTAAACTCTATTTAGAAGGGAAAAAAAGACCATCTGAAGTAAAGTTCCCAAATTAAAGTATCTACCCAGTCTCTGTCAGGAAAAAAACAAACAAATATAAAATAAAATGAATAAACATGTAACCCCTCACTCTCCACCCCCCAAATAAACAACTCTTAAAGTTGTCCCTGATAGTAGTTCCCAAGTATAAAAATTATACACTGCATGGCATTGGATACATTTGAATTCAAGTGCTGCATATTAGTTTTTTGTGATCTTCAATAAATTATGTAACCTCAAACAAATAAAAAATAATAAAATCTTTTTATCTGTATAAAAAATAAAATACATTTCGAAGTTCTAAAGTTATAAAGAAATCCTTAATTTCACTAACTGTCTCAGTATAGGTCCTTCTTCAGGATTATTGGAGGAGAATTTAAAATGTCATGTTAATGACATCATTTGAACTTTATCACTTCATCGTCGTCCGTAAGATCCATGTGGTATCTTTGATTCCTCAGTAGGGCCTAAATTGGTCTCTGTTATATTGTTTCTTGTAATCGTGTTCTCTTATTTACCTTTTATTGCAACCTTAGAAATGAGTATAAGAGACTGAAGCATATTGCTCTACTTGCACAGGCTCTTTGGAAGGCAAATCGTTTGACCACATTTAGTCAGTTTTATAGTAATACAGTCAAACTCCTAATATGAGTAATTTTCATAGCTAAATTAGCAGAGAATGATTTATGGCTACATCACCTGACAAAATTTGTCAGTTGGTCTTACCGGCCTTTTCATTTGTGCCACTGAAACAAATATTAAAGGTTTCAAGAATTTTTATATTGAAAAGGTACATGCCAATCAAAGGAAGTGCTTGAAGAGACATTATTGTCTGCCTGTGACTGAGATTTGAAAGAGCTGACATCTTTTGGTGATTACATTCAATTTGGTTGACTTTGTAAGAATTTTTTATTCCTAAAAGCCTATCAACTTGGGTGGAATTTCTTTCTTGTCCCTAGATGGGTGGTCTGTAGACATAGCATCTTCTTCAAGACTTCGGAACACTTGCCTGTTGAGGATGGGGGAGCTCCATGTGTCTTACAGTTTTGCTGCTGGAAATAAACATGGCCAATTCTGATAGGTCTTTAAAATTTGCTTTTATGCCTTCAATTGACATAGTCGGCTTTCCCTTCTAATCTTTGTCATAATCAATGGCGTGCCAGATTCTCTTTGCTGTCTTCCCATGTGTTGTTTCTGGAATAGGACTGTTGTAGGTGGAGACTTAGGAGGAGTCAGGAGCATGTATTTTTTCTTTTTCATGTTATTACTACATGGCCAAGAGTAAGGTACCTTTGCTTCTCTTTGACCTCAGGACCAGTCTGGTACAACTTCCTTTTTAGTATTAACATTAGGTGTGCACATCTTTTTTTCTGATAAATACATCCAAAAGATGGTGATGAGCAAAAGTCTCTTTCTGAAAAATAATAGATTATTGCAGTCTTTAGGGAAAGGGCCTTCTCTTCAAAGACATTAAGTTGCCTTATTATTTGCAATAATCAGTTTGATAATTGTTGTTGACTTACTGGCTCAGCTCATGAATAATGTCCCAGATTCAGACAAGTATGGCAAAAGGGTTTTAATGAGGTAGTGCTTTCTTACCCATGGAACATTTGTCTTGCTTGACTGTTCTGGACTTCAGCCAACTGCCAGAAAGGCCTTTTCCCACTGTATATGTAGAGTGGAATATGTGTTGCTTAAATGTTCATTGAGAGGAGTTTCCAACCCACTAAAGCTCCTTGTGCCATTACCTTTTTCCTATGTGCCATTAGAGACACGGAGAATGGATGACTGTCTCTCCTTTTCTCTAAGAATCTGTTTGAAGAGAAGGATGAATCTCATTACTATAAATATTGTTTTCACCCCAGCCTACCTCACTGCTTCCGAATGAGCAGAGCCCCTTTGGCTGCTGTGAACACTCTCAAATATTTGATGGCCTCTTAAATTTTCATTATCTAATGTGCATTAATTTAGATACAATAGCTCTGTTGCTAGGAGCAGAGTTAGCAAGGAAGAGCTTAGCCTGCTTATGTTGCAGGCGTTAGGAAAGTGTGCCGAGTTTGCTGCCCTCAAAGGGAGTATGCAGTTCTGCTGGCTGGGCTGCAAACCACAGAAATTCTGACATCCAGGAACTGTTACCCCAGCACATGTGATGTGATATTTTGATCCTTGCTTTTTCTGTCATCTATTGAAATAGCTTGAGAGACTGAAAGGATTGGGAGGCTCTACCTCCTCTGTAGCTTAGAGCTCTGGGGTCCTAATGCCCATGATTTGGTACTCTTGAGGGTAGAATGCATGCACTCACTTCATGTGGATGTGTGAGAAAAGTTTAGAAAGTGCTGTGTGGTTTCATGGTTTTATTGTTTCTACTAGAGGCTCGGTGCACGAAATTCGTGCACCGGTAGGGTCCCTAGGCCTGGCCGGCGATCAGGGCCAATCGGGGCCTTCCAGCTGCCGGCTGGGGCCTCCCTTCCCCGGCTGCTGGCTGCTGGCTGCTGGTTGGGGTCTTCCTTCATTCCATGCTGCCCCCTGATCGCACACATCATAGCGAGCAATCAAACTCCCGGTCTCCTGGTTGAACTCCCGAGGGGACACTTTGCATGTTAGCCTTTTATATATACAGATAATTATTTGTACTGTAATTATTCTGTGGGATTGGTTCCCAAGGAGCACATCTTACTGTTACAGATTTCCCAGACTGGGAACAGAGCAGTGTGCCCAGGTCCTGGCTCATCCCTGAAAAGCTCCAAGAGCAGGGCTTGCTGTACTGGTGCCCAGATAAGGCTGCGTTATTCTCTTCTATAAGAAACAGTGACCCCTGGGTCTACATAACCTATTGGAGGTGGAAGATGAACTGCTTTGGGTTTCCTGGGAAAGGGCTTAGTGGCTATATCACACAGCCTGAGGGTCACTTTGTTTCTTAATGAAAATTAAAGGTTAAATTAAACTACATAGAAGGTTAGTATTGATCTTCTCTCAATTTCATGTAGAAGAAATAGGAGCTCTTTCCTGTCCCAGAGAAGGAGTGAGATTATCATTAAAGCACCTTCCTCACTTGTATATCCACTGATTACTTAGTAACTGAACAGAGGGAGGCAGAGAGTCAATGAGAATGTTCTGAAAATTTCTGGTTAATTTTATCTCTTCTGTGGAAGTCACATGGATATCTAGTCTATCATGTTTTTAGGAATGTCTAGTTTTACAGGGTTATTGGCCTAGCTTCCCATGGTCTGCTAGACTGTGTCCTATACCAGAGCGAAAGGAACATTAACCTGAATCCCGTTACATGTTTAAGGACTCTTTTTTCCTTTCTCCACTAGGATACCCAAAAAGCAAAGCAGTTCCTGCCCTTTCTCCAGCGGGCAGGTCGTTCCGAAGCTGTGGTGGAATATGTCTTCAGTGGATCTCGTCTCAAGCTATATTTGCCAAAGGAAACTTGCCTTATCACCTTCTTGCTTGCAGGTATGTTTTCTGTGTTATGTGTGGCTGTGGAAATTCTTCCTGGAGCTCAGAAGTCATTTCCGGAGGTCACATGCCTTCTTTCCCCGTGTCTTACATAGCCCTGCGCCCGTCGGGTGCTTTCATCTCTGAGATTTGAGCACAACATTTCTAGATTTGGTCCTTCTGTCACTGGTCCCTCTCCTGTTCCTCATTTCCACCAATTTCGGGACGCAGGAGTAGAGTAGTTTAAAAGACAGCACAAATCCTCAGACAATCTGAGAGAAGGGAATTCCAGGCACAGAAAACGATTAATGATGGAATTCTCAGTTGGTATTTCCTATTTGGAATAGGGCCCGCCCCCGCCATGCTAGTCCTGGGCAGGCCTCCGAGGAGCTGAACACCTGCCTTGTAGCTCCCCAGGCAGTGCCGATTGTCTCTCTCTTATTCTTTTCAAATGTCATTAGGATCCTAGTCCTTGATGAAACCCCACATGACATACCTTCGCAGGCTCCTGCACTGAGGTTGGCATACTATGGCAAGCCTTTCTTTCTTTGCTGACTGAATTACATCTTTCTTATCCTATCCTTTCTAGTTGCTTAATATTTCATAAGCCAGCAAGACTGTGTATAAATTGTGCTCTTGGAACAATTTGTATTTATGCAATCATGGAGCAAATCTCTTCATTTGTTCCCTATTGGTAAATAACAGCCATTTGTTCAGTCAGGACTTTTAAGAAACTGTAGACTTAGAGAGAAAGTGTCATTTTACTTCAATACCCTGCTCCTCACCCCATACACACGAAAACACTCACTCACTCACTCACAAAGGACTTACTCTCCTGTGTTATCCCAATGCGCACTGTGTTTCTGAGGCTGTCCTGCTGCCTCAGCATTGCTTCTCTCGTGTTCTTGAATAGAATTGACCTTGGGGGACAAGAAAAGGGCGCCCTGTTTGTTGTCCCTGCCATGCTGCCTCAGCCTCCCTCTTCTAGAAGGCACTGATAGTTTCTTTTCTGTCAGGGTCTCCCTTGGCCCCAGCTAAATGGATTGTTGTATGAGATAAAGCCCTCCCTGAATACAGGACCATCCCTTCTGGTTGAGGCTCTCGCACACTCTAGTTAATGACCTCTCCACAGCGCTGCAGGCTTCCTGAGGGACTAGTTGAAGCCTGACACAAAGCTTAGAGGCAGCCATGAACGAGAAAGGCCGCAACAAATCCACACCTCATTTCTGCGAATGTGTATTGTAGTTAACGGAGGGGTAGTGTAGCAGTGTGCGAGTCCTTCATGCAGCCATTTGTGCCCTTAAGATTTCTGTAGCGAAATTCTTAGCAGTAACTTCTTGCTGTTACAGCATTTGAGGTGTATATTTATCTCATCCTTTGCTCTCTACCTGCACAACAAAAGCTTCTTTTTGGCATTGTAGAGCTTCATCCAGAGGTGTGAAAGAAAAGCAGTATTATTCTTTTTTCTGGGAAACTTGGCCACAGATCTGTAGGGGAAAGAAAACATTGTAGTTCTGGCTTCTAAACTCAAAACTGCCTGAATGGAGCTGGCTTTTAGCTTGGGTCTATCTTGGTGGGAGTTTTTTTTCAGAAGCCTTCTGGTTGTACCTTACTTAAACACCGCAGTCTGATCACTCAGCCCGGCATCAGCTAGTTCTTCTGCGGACTTGGCATTATTCTAAGCTTAGCAATTCAAAAGGCATTGCCTGAGTTCACTTACATTCTGAAAGACAGATTATACAAGCAAATGAATGATAAAAATATAAGCTTTTACATTTGTCTCCTGCCATACTATATGCGCTTATGTTATGCATCTTCTGGTTTCTTTAGAAACACGGCAAGGATACAGGACATTGAAGTCGTCAGAGAAAGCAGATCTCTATTTGAATCATGGCTCTACTCTACACAGGCAGGGACTTAGGGAGATTACTTACCCACTTCAAGCCTCAGTTTATATGTCAGTCAACCAGAAAGAGTATCATGCCTCTCAGGATTGTTATAAAAGTATCATGAGATGAGAGAAGGGTGCAGAACAAGCCTGCCATAAAGTAGATCATCAGTACATATATTTCCTTCCTCATCCCCTCACAAAGACTTTGTGAGTTCATACCTAGAGCTTTCCTTAACTCTTGTATGTAATGGCCATAGGTCATAGTGTCCATGGTAGAGCCATAGTTATCTACTGATGGAAATAACTCAAGAAAAGGCACTAATCTAGTCTCCTCCTGACTGATGAGCTCACTGAACGGAAGGCAACTGGCTTTTCCTGTGAGACTTTGGAGCAAGGAATTCCGCATCATCCTCATAAGACTAGGTTCTAGGTCTCAGGAAGCTCGCAGTGGTTCTCAACCTTCCTAATGCCGCGACCCTTTAATACAGTTCCTCATGTTGTGGTGACCCCCAACCATAAAATTATTTTCGTTGCTACTTCATAACTGTAATTTTGCTACTGATATGAATCGTAATGTAAATATCTGATATGCTATATGTGTTTTCCGATGGTCGTGACCCACAGGTTGAGAACCGCTGCGGGTAGACAGCCGTGTAAACAAACGGCAGTGTTGGGGACTAGGTGAGATAATAGAGTCATTTACAATGCACAGAAGTAGCACAAAGACGGAAATGATTGGTTATTAAGCCGGGCATCAGAGAATGCCTCCTTGAGGATCTGATAGCTGAGCTGTGTTTGGAAGGACAAATAGAAGTTTGCAATGTTGGGGGAGGGTGGAGGTGGAGGTGGAGAGGAAGGCTTGAGGTAGAGATTACAGCATGTGCATAGCTTTAGAGGTTTCGGATACCCCGATGAGTCCAGGCAACCATGAAGCCTTTGGTATCAGCGGAGTATAAACAATGAGGATAAGGGTGGTGGGTTGAAGTTGGAAATATAGACAGGAGCTAGTCTTTTTTTTTTAAATTGTTGTTGGAGCTAGTCTTCTTGGGTTAAGAAAATTCATTTTGGTGGATATATTGGACTAAATGAGGCCGGGGGTTGGGAGAGCACTTAAGAAGCAAGAGGGATGGAGGCCTGAAATCTGGCAGTGGGAAAGAAAAGAGATTGGGAAAGTATTGAGGAGGAAGACTTGATAATTTGGGAAATAACTGGATTTTTTGGATCGGGGATAGGAGATGATGTTAAAATGTGGGAGAGAAAATAAAGCATTATTTGAGTGGGCAGAGTGTGATGTCTAAAAGCAACACGAAAGTAAGAACAGGTTTTAGGAAGAGATCGTTGATTTGATTTTAGACGTGTAATATTTGAGGTCAGCAGAGGGGCCTAGGCAAATTATTCATGTGGAGGAGCCATCAGCATACAGGCAATAGCTAAAACAGTTGCAGTGCCTAGAGGACCGATGTAGGAAGAATAAAAACCCTAGAAAGTTCTGACCTGTGAGGACTAGGCTAAGCATTCATACATGGTCGAAGAAAATATGGTCAAAGGATGGAAGAGAGAGTAGTCTTTGGAAATGGGGGAAGTTAGAATTCCAAGGAGTTAGAAGTGTGAGATTTTACCTAAAAGATCAAGTAGGTAAAAACTATGAAGTTATTTTCTTATTTATCACTTCACTCAATTTATCACTTCACTTGCTGATGACCTTTGTCAGTGCAGTTACATCAAAGTTGAATCAGTCAAAGGCAGATTACAGGCAATTGGGGAATAAATGTGGGAAATAAGGAACAGAATTAAAAATAGACTGCTTCTCACAAAAATCTGACAGAATGGAAAAGGAATGCAGAAAAGTGAAATGAAAGCTAAGGGTCAAGGTAATATTCTAAGGATGTCAGCATTTGAGTACTTTTGTAATTGTAGTTCTTATTCAAGATTGGAGCAGAATGTGGCATGTATAGTTGGAAATACTATTCAGTATACCTATTGTTTCCATAATACCAATTACAGAATGTAAAACTCAACAAAATCTTTTTGGCAAATGAGAATATTAAAAAGATGGAGTGAGAAAATATCATAGGCAACATGAGAACTACTGGTCTGATTTCTGAGGAGAAGGAACTAAGAAAGAATGTAGAGGAGTGACTAATAGAGTAGTGACCTGGAAGAGATGGAATGAATAAGATGTATGGAGGACATGGGTGGGGGGAGTATCCTTAGAGAGAAGGGCCCCTGGTTCTCTGAGACCACCTACAACTCTGAGAGTGAGTGGACACACAGCACGGTATTCATGCTGTGGAGTTGTCCACCTACCTACTCAGTGATCCTCCAGGCACAGCTTTGCAGCTCTCTGTGGGGTCTCTGCAGCATGTAAGAATGGTGGTCTGCTAGAAATGATGTCTCTGCAGCCAGGAGAAAGTTGGGGTTGTGATTCTCAAGGGGAAAGTCAAGATAATTGCTCGGCAGCCCATATGTGCTGCTCTCATTAATCCCAGCCTTTTGGAGAGCCCTCTGGACTTTAAGGCGAGGTGGACACTTTCCATTTTTATGTGGCCTTTTTTAGGCAGACGGCTCCACAGCTTGATAGGGAGTGGCATTTGGCCCAAGCCAGCTGGCCTCCCTGTCACGGTTCCTGCACCCCTGTACGTGGGATGATTGCTTGGTCAGATGGGATAGCAGGTGGGGCTGGGCAGCGTCAGCTGTAGCTAACAGGTTAGTGCCTCCTGAAGGCTCTTGCCCTTTAGTCCTTTGAGCACCTGGCTTAGGTTTGGTCGGTGAGCAGGTGACCTTACACCATCAGAACTGAGACTGTTCAAGGTCCCTTCGCCTGCTGCTTTGGCCGCCTCCTGTGCATACTTACCGCATTCCCGCATTCTTGGAGGCAGTCAGTCCGTTCTGGTCCTGAGTTAACAGGAAGTCAAGAACCCAGGCAGCCTGCATTTGTTCAAAGGTATTCTTTTTCCTCACCTAGCATTTAGTGAGCTCCATATAGTCCCCTCCAGTAGAACAAAAACAGTTTACCAGCCATCTTTATTTTTAGTTTACTTTCACTTGTCATGTGTGTCCATTTTGCTTAGTTTTTTGTCTGAAGGGATACTGAGGCACATATTGGCAAATTGTTTGGCTTTTGATT